TATAACTCCTTCCATTATATAGCTCCCCTTTATATAACTCCTTCCATTATATAGTGCCCCTTTATATAATTCCTTCGATCATCCCTGCTAATGCATAAGAATACATTTCTATCATAACTAAAAAAGGTATTACCTAAATTTTTTATTAAACAGATCTGTGTAATATACCTTCTCAAACTATATTTAATGAAGAAGAGGTTGCAGGCTCCCACATCTAACCAAGAATCTATCTGCAAGTGAAATGTACAGGCAAAGGAAAAATCAGTTTTTCCAACGGGGTCTCACTTCATATGTTATCAACTACTTACCATATATAGGAATAGTTGATCAACTTAAACGTAATGACATTTTTGTAGACTTTTTGTCTCATTTTGCTTTGTTACAGTATTTTTTGTCAAAATGGTCTTTTGCTTATTATGATTTCTGTCGTTTTGTTCTGTTTTGTATGTGTGTGTTGAATTTTTGGTTTTGTTTTGGTGGGGGGAAGTTTGTTTTTTGTTTTTCGAGTTTTTTGTTTTGTTTTGTTTGTTTTCAAGACAGGGTTTATCTATGTAACAGCCTTGGCTGTCCTTGAACTCACTTTTCTTTTTGAATGTACAGAGAACTGCCAGCCTCTGCCTCCTGAGCATCGGGATTAAAGGCATACACCACCACACCCAGTTTTCCATTCCACTAAAATCAGGAACAGGACAAGGATGTCCACTCTCTCCATACCTCTTCAATATAGTGCTTGAAGTTCTAGCAATAGCAATAAGACAACATAAAGGGATCAAGGGGATTGGAATTGGAAAGGAAGAAGTTAAACTTTCGTTATTTGCAGATGATATGATAGTGTATATAAGCGACCCCAAAAACTCTACCAAAGAACTCCTACAGCTGATAAACACCTTCAGTGATATGGCAGGATATAAGATCAACTCCAAAAACAAAAAAAAAGTTGCCTTCCTATACACAAAGGATAAAGAAGCAGAGAGGGAAATCAGAGAAGCATCACCTTTCACGATAGCCACAAATAGCATAAAATATCTTGGGGTAACTCTAACCAAGGAAATGAAAGATTTATTTGACAAGAACTTTAAGTGTTTGAAGAAATAAATTGAAGAGGATACCAGAAAAATGGAAGGATCTCCCTTGCTCTTGGATTGGGAGGATCAACATAGTAAAAATGGCAATTCTACCAAAGCAATCCATAGATTCAATGCAATCCCCTTCAAAATCCCATCAAAATTCTTCACAGACATTGAGAGAACAATAATAAACTTTATAGGGAAAAACAAAAAACCCAGGATAGCCAAAACAATCTTATACAATAAAGGAACTTCTGGAGGCATTACTATCCCTGCTTTCAAACTCTATTACAGAGCGACAGTATTGAAAACAGCTTGGTATTGGCATAAAAACAGAGAAGCCGACCTATGGAATCGAATAGAAGACCCGGATATTAACCCACAAACCTATGAACACCTGATTTTCAACAAGGGAGTTAAAAGTATACAATGGAAGAAAGAAAGCATCTTTAACCAATGGTACTGACATAACTGGATGTCAACCTGTAGAAGAATGAAAGTAGATCCATATCTATCACCATGCACAAAACTCAAGCCCAAATGGATTAAAGACCTCAATATTAATCTGACCACATTGATCCTGATAGAAGAGAAAATGGGAAGTAGTCTGCAACACATGGGCACAGGAGACCACTTCCTAGGTAGAACCCTAGTAGCACAGACAATAAGAAAATCAATGAATAAATGGGACCTCCTGAAACTGAGAAGCTTCTGTAAAGCAAAGGACACTGTCATTAAAACAAAACGGCTACCTTCTGACTGGGAGAAGATCTTCACCAACCCCTCATCAGACAAAGGTCAGATCTCCAAAATATACAAAGAACTCAAGAAACTAGACACTAAAACTCTAATTAACCCAATTAAAAAATGAGGTACTGAACTGAACAGAGAATTCTCAAGAGAAGAAGTTCAAATGGCCAAAAGACACTTAAGGTCATGCTCAACCTCTTTAGCAATCAGGGAAATGCAAATCAAAACAACTTTGAGATACCATCTTACACCTGTCAGAATAGCTAAACTCAAAAAGCACCAATGATAGCCTATGCTGGAGAGAATGTGAAGTAAGGGGAACACTCATCTATTGTTGGTGGGAATGCAAACTTGTGCGGCCACTTTGGAGTTCAGTGCGGTGGTTTCTCAGGAAACTGGGAGTCGACCTACCTCAGGACTCAGAAATTCCACTCTTGGGAATACACCCAAGAGATGCCCTGTCATACTACAAAAGCATTTGTTCAACTATGTTCATAACAGCACTATTTGTAATAGCCAGAACCTGGAAACAATCTAGGTGCCCCTCAATAGAAGAGTGGTTAAAGAAGGTGTGGAACATATACACATTAGAGTTTTACTCAGCGGTAAAAAGCAATTACATCTTGAATTTTGCATGCAAATGGATGGAAATAGAAAACGCTTTACTGAGTGAGGTAACCCAGACCCCAAAAGAGGAATATGATATGTACTCACTCATAAGTGGATTCTAACTATAATTAAAGAACATTGAGCCTATAATTCATGATCCTAGAGAAGCTAAATAAGAAGGTGAACACAAAGAAAAGCATATAGTTATCCTCCTGGATATTGGAGGTAGACAAGATTGCCAGGCAAAACTTGGGTGCACGAGGGTGTGGGGGGGTAGATGTAAGGGGAGATGGGTTGAGAGAAGGGAGAAGGGGAGGATTCAGGAAAGCTTGGGGGAATGGGATGGGTGGGGTGGAGGAAGGGTAGATATGGGAGCAGGGAAGTAAATATCTTAATTAAGGGAGCCATTATAGGGTTTGCAAGAGACTTGATTCTAGAGGGGTTCCCAGGTCCAAGGAGAGGTCCCCAGGTTGTTCCTTGGGCAGCAGAAGAGAGGTTGCTTGAACTGTGTCCCATAGCCACACTGATAAATATCTTGCATATCACCATAGAATCTTCATCTGGCTATGGAGGAGATAGAGACAGAGACCCACATTGGAGCAGTGGACTCCCAAGCTCCCAAGGTCCAAATGAGGAGCAGAAGGAGGGAGAACATGAGCAAGGAAGTCAGGAACACAAGGGGTGCGTCCACCCACTGAGATGGTGGGAATGATCTAATGGGAGCTCACCAACGCCAGCTGAACTGGGAGTGATGGAGCATGTGATCAAACTGGACACTCTGAATGTGGCTGGCAATAAAGACTGACTGAGAAGCCAAGGACAAAGGCATTGGGTTTTGATTCTACCGCATGGACTGGCTTTGTTGGAGCCTGGTTTGTTTAGATGCTCACCTTTATAGAACTGGATGGAGGGGCGAGGACCTTGGACTTCCCATGGGGCAGGGAACCTTGACTGCTCTTAGGACTAGAGAGGGATGGGGAGCTGGGGAGGAGGAGGGAAAAAGGAGGCGGGGGGGGAGGTGGAAAATTTTAATAAATAAATAAATTTAAAAAAAATAAAAAATAAAATAAATAAGTAGATAAAAAAGAGAAAGAGATAAAAAGAATATAAATTGGGTGGGAAGAGAGCTGAGAAGGATCTGAAAGGTGTTGAGAGAGATGAAAATATGATGAAAATACATTTCATTT